CCGCCTCCATTACCTCCAACCCCCGCCGCCTTCGATAGCCCCTGCCACCATCCATCGCCAACAATTATCAACCGCCACCTGCCCCTTACAGTGAAGTCCCTTGTGAAGTGATAACATGCACTTTGGAACCCAGATGTACATTGCAAAGTAACATTACACCCAACTTACGACGCAATGATATCTCCCCAAGATGATGTAACAATTCACCCTCATAGATGATTGACTTTCTTCAAACTCTTAAAGCTCCCTTCGTGCAGCTCCTGACCCCGACCCCTAAGGTCTATGGAAGTCATCATAGCTCAACACTTCAATCTACATGCTTAACCACAACCTATGTGGTTCACAGCTCGTGTCACTCCCAATTCTAGCCCTTGTATCCTACGGTCGTTTTTGTAACTCATCACAATGACCTATGTGATCAACTACGACTTACATGATTCACAGTTCATGAAGCTCCCAACTACAGCCCCTGTGGCCTACAGGCGCCCTCACAGCTCACCACTCTGACCAATGTGACCAACTATATTCACAGCTTGTGCAACTCCTGACGTCGACCCCTATGACCTACAAACGTTATTGTAACTCACCATAATGACCCACGTGATCAACTATGACCTATATGGTTCACAGCTCATTAAGCTCCCAACTATAGGCCCTACGGCCTACAAGTATTGTCACAGCTCACCACTCTGCCAATGTGACCAACTACAGTGTATGTGGTTCATAGCTTGTACAACTCCCGACTTTGGCTCATGCAACTTACTAACGTCATCACAACTCATCGTCATGCCCTGTGTGGTTCGCATCTTTTGTAGCTCCCAACTTCGACCATTGTAGTCTACAAATGTCATCATAACTCACCATAATGGCGTATGTGACCAACTACGACCTACGTGGTTCACAGCTCTTGAATCTAGTCTCAACGGCCTACGGACATCATCACAACTCGCCACTACAACCTGTATGACCAACTATGGTCTACGTGGTTTATAGCTCATGCAATTCCTGACTACAGACATCATCGCACCTCAGCACTAGAGACCATGTGACCAACTGCGACAAATGTGGCTCGCAACTCCTGTAGCCTACTACTACAACCTCTATGGCCAAACAACAATCCTAAAGGAACTATCTACAATCCACATGACCAACTACTACCATAGCTTTCAACTACTGTCTATACATTAAGATGACGCTGTGGCTATCGTCTACAACATTTACAATAGACTATTGTCTCCATAGCAATCAACTATGACCCTTGCAGTCGTCTATCATTGAGAAATACATTCATTACATTGTAATTATGATTATTATCGATAAACTATTATTGTACATTTATAATAATTATTTTTGTAACTTCATCTTTCTTGATACAGGCGAAAAGTGAACATGTGTACTCAACATTCATAGTAGATTATTTGAATTGGGTTAGGCCTCATGGTTTTTCAATTTTTTAGGGCATTTCACATAAAAAAAAGAGATGTTTTCTCCTGCTTACTTCACTTTTATTATCTGAATGTGTAGTGTAGTCTCATACAAGACTAAGACGATAATTTGCTACTTTACCGCCACGAATTTTTTAACACGCATCAGCATGACTGACGAAAAGAAATTGTAACGAAACATTTTACAAATCAATGTAAAAGTCTTAATCCCATATTGAAAGAGCACACAACCCATTTTGCAGATGGTTGACATTTAATTGAGTTTTACACTGAACAAGATACTTTAGCTCTGATTTTTATATAGCTTTTGTAGCTAATTATTTTTACTAGGATCACATGAATTGACTATGAGAAGTCTCTTTTGGTAGTTTTTTACATTCTATAAGGGAAGACGAAGTCCTTTTACTAAATGAGCATCTTTTGGGCTGTCATGATAGTGTTTGTACTGAATTGGCATCAATTTGGGAGTCGTCACATTCATTGTTTATCGTCTTCAATGAAAAGCCTTCCAAGTGCACTTTAAACATCTCAAATATGGTGACATGCTCCATTTTGTACTAAGACATTTTTAAAGAGATTCAACTCTGTTTTGTGTGACATTGAGCACGATAGCCTTCATGTTGATCGAGTTATCCCCTTATGTTATTTTGAGAGCTCCTGACATGCATGTGCTAAATGTTTTGCAGGTTGAGCAATGTTTAGTTAATTTCATTTGGTGCGACAATTGTTGTTCGTTGTCTCCGACGCATTTGATCACATTGCTAAAAGGAGCAAATGTGGAGGTCAATATAGACATTATTAGTGATATCAGAGCAATGTACAAAACCTTTTATATGAATCCATTACAAATCATAATTTACTTTTCCAAAAACCTTTAGATTTATCCGTTTCTATCTTTAAATCTCTTTGCTTCCTTTGTCTACTCTTCTCCTCCTTCACACTAACGCTTTTATCAATCACTACATCAACCTTCACAATGTGATGATCTGTCGTGCCCTTCGATGAAAGAACTTCATAAGAACCAGACACAAATTTATACATCGAGGTCGGTGATGCCAATATGTAATCCACTCTTGTACCATACTTGCATGTCCCTTGCACATCTGCAAAATTTGTGAAGAATTATAAAAAATATAAAAAAATAAATATTTACATATGTACTTATTTTTAACATTGCTAACCCTGTCCTTTAGCCAATACAACAACTGCTTCACATTCTCCAGCAAAATTCTTGGCGTCCACATAATGCTTTGATTTTAGAAACTTCATCACTTCAACCTTTGGTTCTGGTTTACCAATCTCTTTATGGTACTGCAGAAAACAGAAACTCTTATGATTATATACTGCATGCATTTCAAATAGAGCTATGGTTTATACTGAAAATTTTTGTTAAGTAATCAATTACCTTAAGTATATCAGCCCATCTATCTTCAGAGTAATCGGTTTCATCAAGAGCATTCAGTCCTCCAACCAAAATATGAGGCCCGTCGTTGTGGTCAAGTATTGAGTTTATCTGCTTCATTCTCCAGTTCTCATCAAGATGGTCAAGGTGGGTGCAGTGGAAGTTTACTTCTCCTACTCTTGGTACTTCAATGGTGGCCTTCACCACATTTCTGATTGGTTTTAAATTAAGAATCTTGATAATAATAATTAATAGGTGCCATTTTTATTCAGATATTAATTTTTATTTATAAATATATTGTGTATGGCTTCATGTTTATCTTATTTAAGGGATTAGTCTTAAATAGAACAATCTATAGTGATGCTAATATTTTTTTTTTCTTTTTTTGGCTGGTTTATGGGTATCAACTGGTTTGAAATTTTGAAGGGTATGCTGATGTTATTGAATATAATTGTTGTGTGTTGGAATATTCATGGAAATGGTGAGAGAAACATATTTTAATTGTGTGCAAAGAACTAGGGTATATAGTGAAAAAATATATAGTTGTTGTGATACACAAAAGTTTTTTCATGGAAAACATGAAGAAAGGAAAACTATATGTCCCAGTCTAATTGAAATGATTTTATTTGTGTGTGTCATATATTATATATTATGACAATTCTAGTGATTGGGAAAATCATTTATACAATATAATGAATAATAGTTATTTTGAATAAATTTTTTGATGGTAGTTGTAAAAGTCTTAAGATAATAGAATTTCTTCAGGAGATTATCTGCATTTTTGTTGAATCATCTTTTTAGAAGAGAATATAAAAAAATAAGAAATGTGGTGTAATTATTAGTTTTGAGTTCGACATTCAAAGTTGATGTCAAAGTCAAGTTGATCTTATTGGTGATGATGGACATCCTTGTTGTTGGCTACAGTAGATGACAATATAAACTGGTATAAACGTGAAATTTGAGTTTGTACATCATATTTATGGCAGATGGTTTGACTACATGCATCGACCTTTTGTGTAATGTTATGCATCTATAATATGCATCAGTCTGAAAACACGTGGCAGAGTACTATGAAATTATAAAAAAAAAAAAACATCTGTGTCATATATTGATAAGCATTAAGATATTTTAGTAGAATAATTATGGCCTTAATATTGTATTTGGCTAACAATAGTTGGGAGAACACATTCAAGGATGATGGTAGAAGATCATAATTTGGCAATGAAAATCAAATATTGTAGTCAGAAAATAGTGGTTTGCTGGTCATAATCAGGTGATCTTGTTTTGACGATCATAATGAGTGATGATAGTGATCAACAGGAAAGATAGTGGTTGGAAGACCATATTTGAATGAGAATGATCAAGTGAGAGAAACTTACTAATAAAATCAAACATTAATGGTACAACAACAATGGACAAGCAATGGTTGAGCTAAAGAAAAGTGATGGTAATCAAATAGGCATGATTGGGAGCAGATGTTCTAATAGTTAAAATAGGGCAATTATGGGGTGATGAAGGTTCAATAACAATGATTTTGTGGTCATAATTTAATTGCAATGATGGAACGATGATGCACATGTAGCATTTGCAAGATGATGATGATTGGGATGTGCCAAATAACGTTGATATTAAGCTAACAATGGCTACAAACTAACAATGGTGAAAATCTTATGATTATAATAAGTTGATTGTAGGGGACAAGTGGGATGGACAAACTATGATAGTTTGATGATGGTTGTGCAAGCGATAATGACAATGATAATCTCAAAATGACCATTGGGTGACGTCTTTCTGGTAGTACTTTTCAAGCGATTATCTGATTAGGAAAGTCTGCTAGCAATAGTCAAGCGGTGAAAGTTCAATTACAATGTTAAGCGGTGATGAACCATTGATGAAGGTAGGGCAACGGTAGTCATGAAATGATGGCTAGATGGTAATGATGGTTAAACAATTGTAAAAATCTATTGAGAGATGATCAATGTTTTTTGATGTTAATGCTCGGTTATGAGTGGTTGAGAAATGGAACAGGTTTATTTATCATGGTTGGGTGCCAGCCGTCAAGCAAAAGTAATGGGATAAGTTTGATCTGACCATTTTAATTGGGTGGTGGTAGTTCTACTATGATTAGTAGCTGTTAGCAGTTTGATGGTAGCAGTCAAGCGGAGGTGATCAAATATCAATAATAGAATGATGGTGATCCAACGTGACAATCATGTGAGTGTGAATTGATGCTTGTGGCAATCAAAATGCGATGGTTAGGCTACAATAAATGGAAAGTAGCTGAAGTGTGTAAAATGTGCAACATATTTTACTGCATTGTTAACACAATTTGTATCATGTTTATGCTTTTCCTTATATTTTTCTGTGTAATTGTAGGTTACATGAATTAATGAGTGCTTAATGATGTATTAATCATGCAATGGAGCAAACATAAGGGGGCACCCCAATTCCTTTCCAAACGGGACATCGACATTTCATCTCCAGACAAAATAATGGAAGCCACACACGGGCATCACATTAGTGGCACCAAGGCACCACTTATAAGGCATTGGTGTATTTACATCACTTATGATATGGCTATGCCATTATGGCGCAAGTATTTCACCTTAGTGGTATGGGTACGTCTTTTCTGCTGCCTCCCATGCTTGACACATACAGAGAGCATAGAACATTTGTGCCACTTCAAGGAAACCTTATGCTTGCTCCAAGGCAAGGGAAATGCAGAGGTAACTAGGCATATTCCAACAGTCGATTTTGGGTGACTACAAGTTGATTTTAAAGATCATGTTACAGAAGTGATCGAGTAGTATCCATCTAACAAAGATGATCTATCGACAATGTTATGTGGAGCTATAAGTTCATTTAAACATTTAAGCCTCTCCACTATTTCGTCTCGCAGACCACCATCTCCTCTAAAGAGTGCGGGTCTATTTAAAAAGTTTGAGAGTGACATTTACTGTAAATACCACTCAAATTAAAACATTCCAATATATAATATACATAGAGTGATACCCTAGATAGTAAGTTATTTTCGAGTTTTTGAATTTCTTAATGATATCATAAGTGATTTTGAACTCATTAGACTCATTTTATAGAGATATTTGAAATGCGTAAAATTAAAAGATTATTTGATACTTGATACACAATCAAAAAATTTTCATCATCTTGCACGAATCTCGAGGCATGACACGGATCTCGAGTAAATATCTTGAACAAGAAATATTTAAATCTTAATAAAAAGTCATCCAGAGCTATGATTTCAGCAAACTTATAGTCAAATTGACCGGCTCGATGAAACAGACCCAATGATATAAAAGTTAGTCCAATCTGAGTCAAATCAAGCCCAGATCAAGTGATTAAATCATTCATGGAAGAATTTTGGCGGCATTTGAAAGATCAAACGGATGTCGAAGCTAGTGAGTTTATAGTCGAATCGAACATCTCGATAAGACAAATAAAACGAGCAAAATATTGCTAAATTCTAACATCATTAAGGCACTTAAATGTCCATCAAACAGCATATGATCGAGGGAAGCTCTCAGAACCGTCCGATTAAAATGGTTCATATTCCTGCATGAATTGCACTTAGAATACTATAAATAGAGCCCCACCCCTCACATGAGAGGGGGAGACTTGAGCGAAAACTTGAGGCTTTGAGAAGGAGTTCAAATCAAACATCATCTATGTCGTCGACCACCCGACCGTCAACGTCCACCGTCAACCACTAGCGGCCGGCATCAACCACCGTCGAGCATCCTCGACCACCGTCCGCTGTCAACCACCATCAACCATCGCTCACTGTCGTCGACTTCAGTTAACCTCCGTCATCGATCGTCTACCATCGCTAACCTTCATCGACTACCACCGACTATCTTATATTGTCATTGACTACCGTCGATCACCGCCGACCTCTTTCAATCACCGCCAACTAGACGTCGTTAGCTGACGTTGTACCTTAGAAAATTTAGTAACTCTTTTCCCGTCTGTGGGACAAGAGGCCTCTGTAATCATCAACTTATAATGAATTTTTATAACTGAGCCAGGTCCCATGGTTTTTTTCCCTTTACGGGTTTTTCACATGAAAAATTCTACTGTCATCACATATTGATTTCATTTCATCTGAGTGTGTGTTGAATCCTCGTGCAACGTTAAGACGATAATTCATTACTCTACCACTGCAAATTTTCCGGCACGCATCAATACTCAAATTAATATCTCTAAAAGCTTAACGATACATCTAGTGTTTTATCTTGGCTTATATGAGCTTAAATAGCACAACTTTTAAAAATATCCTGTGTTTGCCTCAAATCGTTCGGTAAAATTATAAATTTGCTAAATCAAAGTTTCAATATTTAAAAATTTTAATTATAAAATGGTACTTAATTCGTCTTTCACCAAATATATTTTTTTCTACGAGGATCAAATTGTCCTAAAAAATTTATTTTTGTGATGAATTTTTTAAATCTAAGTCAACGTAGGCAAGAGAGATATCGAACTGCTACCGAGTTGATTTCCGTATCATTCACACGTTCCTAGCAAGACCATTGTTATGACATCAGCAAAATTCAATTAATCTATACTATATTTTAATTATTTATTTGATAAAGTAATGGTGAGTTTGGGGCAGCTTATTCGCTGTGTTTGTATTTTGAAAACACACTTAAGATAGTTGTTTCGTGCTTTTCAACAACTTATCCTAAAAAGCCGTTTATAATTTGTGAAGAACGCCGCCCGCAGGATTAATCCTGCGGGCCGCGTTTTGTCCGCGACATTACTCATGTGTCCTCTTTTTTGCTCTCGTGCCGTCGTTGGCATCCCGTGCCGTCATTACCCATCGTTTGCATCCTCTGCCGCTCTTCTCTCTTCTTCGGTCCTCTTCGGAACGGTATTTTTGTTTTTCTTTCCTGTCGAATCGCAAATCGCAGTTCTTCCCCCTAATTTGCATCCTCTACCACTCCTATCTTTTCTTTGGCAATCTCTCACGACATGTAATCTTCGGCATCTTCTTCTTCTTCTTTGACATTTTCTCCTCTCCGGCATTATCTTATCGTCCGGAACTTTTTTTTTCCCAGTCGAACTGCAAATCACAGATCTTGTGAGTTTTGCGATGATAACCTTGATGAACAACAAATTTAGCTGCTTCATCTTTCTGATGCATCTATATTCGAAGAAAAAGTCTCAGCTAGTAAAGGTTCCGTTGAACTGAATAATATATTTTGTTTGCCTTTCATTAAAATTGTAAAATCAAGACAAGAACCTTTGAAGGGGAAGTCTTCCTGAACTAATATTAGTTCAACATTAATTTACTTTGCCCTGCATTCTTTTCATGGGCGGGGAATGGATTAAAGAGCTTTTTACTTGAATATTTTCAGTATGGTACATGCATAGGAATTGCAGTTGGTGTGTATGTAATTGCCCCTTTATTAATTTATATATTTTCAAGCTATTGATGGTCCATGCGGCTTGGATGATAGAAAGTCTTGGTTTTTTCAATTCCATTGTTTGCAAGAAATTTTTAAAATGAAAGGAAAAAATATCTTATGAATGCTTGATCACATCTTGTTCCTCTTTATATTCATAATATGGTGAAAGACAAACATTTATGGTGGCCAAAACCTAGGCGAGTCAGTTTTGTAACGATTCTCACCAAAAAGCTTAATGTTTTGAATATAATTGTTGGTTTTAGATTTAAGTTTTGCATACATGAGGAGAATCGTTCCCTTTCCAAATGAGCTCTAACCTTATTGTTTTTTTTTATAGGAAATTGATGATGTTCAGAAATTGAAGGAGGATTTAATGTAATGATTGTAATACAACTTCTGCGTGTCAGATTGTTCATTTACCTAAAAAAATGTGCAAATCAGCTGTTTACGAAAGACACAAACCAAACAGCTAAACATCTTATCCAAAATAGGGGCAGAATGGTCATTTATCTTGAATCAGCTATTTTCCAAACTCACAAATCAAACAGACAGAAAGTTCATCCGGATCAGCTGTTTATCAATAGATTATCAGGATAAACAACTTATCTGGATAAACCGTTTAAGCTGCAGCTGCCCCAAACAGACCCTAAATGATGAAGAGATTATCTTGTAGCGATCTGATGACTGACAATTAAAAAATTAAACAATAGTTGAACATAAAAATAAAAAATATTAGATTAATAAATATGCCTCTTTTATATATATATATTTGAGAAAGGTGAGCCCAAAAGATAATATGAGCAACTACTAAGATTATGTTGGGAGATTACACCCTCGACCACAATGTCACGAATAAGTGCACAATTATAATTCATGTTTAAAATTATGATGAGAGTAAAATAAATTAAATGCAACTTGGATAAAAGTTATAAAAAATATAGCATTGATGAAAAGTATAAAAAACAATGAAAAAAAGAAATTATATCCAGCAGAAGTTTTATCATCTTTATAAAAGGAAAACCAAATAATAAAAATATTTCGAATCAGAATCATCACCTGAAATCAGAATCATCAAAAACCTTCTGAACCTTCCACTGCTTAATCGGAAACCTAGAAAGCACAGCATTACCATACTCCGGCGCCCAGCTCTCAGCAAATACAAACTTCATCCCCAACCCGGCTGCCAAATCTGTAAGAGGTCTCATCCCTTTCTCCTCCTCAGCCTTCACATTCTGCAACCCAATTATATCCGCATCCACCTCTCTCAACACATCCAACACGCTTCTCCTGCTTCCTTCCCCTTCCCTCCTTGCTCTAAAGCTCGAACCTTTACCCATCCTCGCAATCTCGTTGTCAGGAAGATTTATGGAAACTCTCAGCTTTGGTTTGGTTAGAGTGGGCAGTTGCTTCAGGATGCTTCTCGGCTGATGGTTTGTGGATTTGTGTTGCAGAGTGTGCTCGGGGGAGTTAGAAGCTGCGGGGGCCATGGAGAACATGGAGGCGTTGAAGGTGGCTATGCGGAATGGGGAGGGGAGGTCGGGGGAGGAGGAGATTTGGGGATTGATGAGGGACTGTTTGCTGATGGATTTGATATTGGTGTTGGTGTTGGATTTGGAACGGGATGCGAAACAGGGGATGTTGATTTTGTGGTTTTGAAGGCTGTGGCGCGGCCAGCGGATGCGGGGGCAGAGGCGGCGGAGTTGACGTCCGGCTGTTTTGAGCATGGAGGAAGGGAAGGAAGGGAGATTAGGGATGTTTACACAGAAGGCGTGGCTAATTAATTTTCTTCTCATGGTGTTTCTTTTTCTTCTTCTTCTTCCTCTGGGCATTGAGAGATACAATTTCAACTGCCCCTGCAAGGAAAGAGGAAGCTTTAGGAAGAAAGGCAAATAGAAATATGGAGGACATCAACAACTCCATGATGCACGCGTTTGCTAATGAATGCATGGAGCTTGTTTGAGTGGGATTCTTCTCTCTCTCTCTCTCATTTATTTATTTATTTGTTTTTATTTATTTTTGTATTGATGGCTGCGTGTGGTTTGAGATGATGCGAGTTATGATAGCTTGTAATAGGTGAATTATGTGAACATATAGTTCCTCATTTTGAGTACGGCATGGAGTGGTAATGGGAAGGGCAACGGGAAATGTGTGTGGGAAAATACAATTTGTTGAGTGTAGTAGTTTTAGAATTAAGTTCGGCGCATTTGATTTTTTTTATGTTGAATTAAGATGAATTTTATGTATAATGTTAGTGTCTTAAGGAACTTGAGTATTAGGTAACAAGAGAAATGAGGGGAGAGAAAGAGAATCTAAAAAGAAGCTTTAGAATTTTCTCTCTTCTCGAGAAGAATTAAATAAATAATTCAATATCTCAAAATCTTACAATCCTCTAATTTGATGGACAATGTTAAAAAAAATACTATATTTAAGTAATCCAAATAAATTTGCCTAATAAAATTTAACAAACACTTGATTGCAATGTTAACTAATTATGAATTAAGTATTAGACTTAGCTAGTTTGATTATTACTTTCTTATTGCATTGCCTTATGTGTAGATATTTTTTTTTTTTTTTTTGCATATTACTTTCTTATTGCATTGCCTTATGTGTAGATAATTTTTTTTTTTGCGCTTGGTAGCTTTGGCTTTTCCTTTATTTTCCCTTTGAAGGTTTGACTATAGATTGAGAGGGAGACTGATAGATAGCAAGCTTCGTGACCTAGCCTTCATCCAACACAAGAGGCTGAGAGGAAGGTGGAGATGGTTGTGACCTCACAAGCCCGTGCAATGCAAATCAACAAAAATTAAGAGTTTTGAAGTCAAGATTACAAAGTTTGGTTTGAGTTCATTTTTCTTCTTCTTTTACAAGATAAATAATCTTTTTCATTAACCTTTTTTGTACTTTTACTAAATATTGTTTGAGGATGACCTTTGTTTTAAAGTCATTTTGATTGATCTTAAATCAATGCAAAATGTTATAAAAAATTGGTCTTAGAGCTTGGTTTGAGACTGCTTATTAGAATTGGTGTTTTCAGGGTTAACATTAAGAGGCCTGTTAGAAATACTAATTTCTACATTTGGATGAAGCTTATGAAAGTTGTTTTGATCTAAATGAAAATTTACAAAGCTTAAGCGAGAGACAGAGAGAGAGTTTTGCCTAATTCCTTAAGCTTTGTAAATTTTCTCTGTATAGAGTTAATGCATGATATGCTCGTAGTGTATCTGAGTGACAAGGTACTTCGTGAGATTTATAAAGAATAAAAATTAGAATGAATGCATATGACAAAGTACTTCAATAATATAACATATTATATGGATAAATTATTTGTGTTTAGGATGTCTTAAACTAAAGGTCTTGACGATAATATGAATAATTTTAATAATCTCATCATAAATTAGAATGAATTAAGGTTGATTATGAAGAACCAAACAATATTATCTTAAATTTATTATCAGAATCATAGACATATTGTGTTAAGCTATTAAGTATGCAAAGGAGAGTTTGTCTTTGAAGGAGGTTCTAATAACTTTAAATTTTTTTAAAAAATGAAACCAAATTTGAAAAAGAATTAGAGGGAGGTCTTGGTTTGATGCTAAAGGTAGCTCAGTGGCGGACACAAATAGGGTCAAGGGGACAATTGCCCGAACAACAACCCC